CATCTTTTTATAAAGTTGTAGCTTAAATCAATCTAAAAATCTCAAACTGCCTCCCCACCCCTGACACACTTCAAATTAATCTGCCAAGAACTTTCTGGGGAGAGAAAACAAGAGAGAAGGAAGAATATCAGCATACAACTTTGTGCTGTTTCTCTTCTTGCTTTAGTGATTTTTAAAAGAAAAGTCCGTTAACAAAACACTACACAAACACAAAAACAAAAAAATGTCCCAAAGAAATACATGGCAAAGAATAAAAATATTTACTTTTCCCTCCCCCTCACCTCAATTTCTAGCTTGCTTTAGGCACAGTTAACCTTCAGACTCGACCTTTCCTTACTCTTTCAAGCTCATCTATTTAAAAACAGTAAGATCTAAAGTATCTACACACCCTATTGCACAATCAACATCTTTTGATAAACCAGGAAATAAAAGAACATCTTGTTACTATAATGTGTAATCCTCCCGCCTAAGAAAAAAACACTTGTACCCCATCTAAGAAAAAAAAAAAACACTTGTACCAAATCCAGCTAACACAATCCATTGAGAGAACAAGCTCATTTTTTTCTTAGAGGGCAACTTTGACTATACATGGAGGACTTGAACTCTAAAAACAAACACTCAACTATATTCCCAACACCTACATGTTCAAATTATCCACTAAATTACACATTTCTAAGCATGCATCCATTTCTGTGTGGACATACTAGGAAAATATCCTATCTGATTTCTAATGGGTTGAGATTAGACTGGAGAACAATGAAAGCACTAGAATCCTCCTCCTCTTCCCCTTACCCACTGAGTTACTAAGGCAGGGACCATTCTCTGCACCCTCTCAACAAATGGCTTCTCTAAGACTGTGAAACCACAACAAATGTGTAACCTGAGGCCCCAGCTGTGGCAGACAAATGCCAGAAGCAAAATTCATGGCACTCGCTTATAATACCACACAGAAGCTCAGACAGGTGTGAGGAACAAACACCCTACCCCCCTCCATGTACAGTGATGCTTCCATTCCAGAAAGCTGTGAAGGCTTACAGAGCCTCCCACTTGAAACATAATTTCAGGTGAATTTAAAATGCATTCCTGCATACTACTAACAAGGACTATAACTTCCTGAAAGGAAAGAATTTTTTTTTTTATATCCTCACCGGAGGACATTTTTCCATTTTTTGTTCAGAAAGAGGGGGAGGGAGGGAGGAAGGGAGGGAGGGAGGAAGGGAGGAAGAGAGAGAGAGAGAGAGAGAGAGAGAGAGAGAGAGAGAGAGAAACATCCACATGAAAGGGACACATTGAGTGGTTGCCACCTGCACGACCCAACAAGGGCCGGGGACAAACTGCAACCGAGGTACATGTCCTTAGTGGGAACCGAACCCAGGTCTCTCTGGACCACAGGCTGACGCTCTAACTGCTGTGCCAAAATGGCCAGAGCAGGAAAGAATTTTTATTGCTCAAATCGTGAAACACGGAGAAAGGCAGAAGAGATGGATAAGAAATGGGAAAACAAAGGGTCTAACTTAGGTGCTTAAAACCGGCCTTTGTATTATTTGTTCTTCAAGTTACACAATGAAATTCCAATCAGAGCCCTGGCCAGTTTGGCTCAGCGGTTGCTCAGTGGTTGGCTCCTCGGCCTGAGGAACCAGAGAGTCCTGGGTTCGGTTCCCATTAGGCGCACCGCACATACCAAAAAAAAAAAAAGAAAAGAAATTCCAAGCAGAGCCTTTTCTAAACTTTCTTTTCTTTTTAAATCAACTTTTCTGAGGTATAATTTACATACCAAAAAAAAAAAAAGGCACCAATTTTAAGCATACAGTTAGATTAATTTTTGATAAATATATATACCAGTGTAATCACCACAAAAGAGATATAAGACATTTTCATCTCCCCAGAAAGTTCCCTTATGCCCTTTTTGTAGTCCATCTCCTCCCACCTCTATGGCCACCTGCAATCGCTAATCTGCTTTCTGCCCCCAAGGGTCTGTCTTGCCTTTTCTAGAACGTCATATAAATGGAGTCAGATAGTTTGTACTCTTCTTCTGCATAATTCCAAGATTCATCCATGTTTTGTATCAATGGTTTGCTCCTCTTTATTGCTGATTACTATTCCCTTTGGATCAGTATACCACAATTTTTTTAAAAAAATAAAAGGTGGCAATGGTTAACTCTAAAGTTCATACATACACTTTAAAGAATACTACTATTTCTTTCTTTCAAGGTCACTGGAACCTGTAAGTGTATAAAGAGCAGATCCCAAAACCTTTGGCTTCAGGAGCACCAAGCTTTATTTTGTTTCATCTCCCTATACAATAAAACTTGTTCAATCAGATGTAAAGAAAAACAAATAACCTGAGATTTTTGTTTACTGCCAGCTCAAGATGTTATTTCAAGCTGCTGAAGAACTATGAGGAAACTGTATCCAAGCAAATTTTCACGTGCTGCTTTCAGAATGCCTGACCGAAACGTGAACTTTGGGGCTACGGTTTGATATGATTCTGACCCTTCTGCTTTTGCCTGATCGGTCAGAATTTTGGATTTCATGCTGACTCCCACACCAGCAGGACCTGATGGGGCTGCCTCTGAGGTGAGATTGGCTGGAGAAGTCCTGTTTAGCCAAGAAAATAAACATACCTCTTAAATTTTGTTTAACCTAACTGCCCCAGTCATGAAGCCTACTACTGTTTCCAAGGAATACAACTGGAGAAACATTGTTCTAACAGACATAAAGTACATCCCTTACATGGTACTCAGCATTAGGATGGTTGCCTCTCTGTAACAGACATGGTTATTCTGAATATAAACGGACCACCCATTGTGCAAGATCTCTCAGTGAGTCCCAGCTACACCTGGGTTGTGAAATGAGAAACTCATACCCCAAAAGCAGCAAAAAGAAATCTCTGTATCCTCAGCCCATACTGTCCTAACCATGACCTGGGCAGGTCTTTACAGCAGTCAGAGGCAGACAGCCACACTTCTAAGGGAAAGGGCCTGGAAGAAGAAGACTATTTCCTGGCCACCCTGCCTAACTAACTAGGTGCTCTGAGCCCACCAGGTGCTGGGCCTCGGTTTCTTCTAGAATGAAGTGGCTGACCCAGAATGAGCTCTAATGTTCCCTCCAGTCTGAGAACTGTAATATGAGTCTCATAAAAGAGCAATAAATCCAAGACTAAATTGAGAAAAGTTGCATATTTTCTGAACCATAACAGAATTTTGCATGGCATCCAAAATTCTGACAGAAACATCAGTCTCAATTCTCCATTCATAATTCGTGTCCATTATAGTCTTTAAATAAGTGCTTTTGTTTTGTTTATCCACTACCTCTTCCCTTTCCTCTAATTTCAGTATTATTCTTGTTAATGAGATGCAGTCTTCACATTTAACTTTATACATCTATGTGCCTATTTTGTCTGAATACTAATGTTTAAATATGTTTTTTAAATTGATTTTTAGAGAGGGGAAGGGAAAGGGAGAAAGAGATAGAAACGTCGATGAGAGAGGCATATCGATTGGCTGCCTCCTGCACGCCCCCCACTAGGGATCAAGCCAGCAACCCGGGCATGTGCCCTGACTGGGAATCAAACCAGCGACCTCTTGGTCTAGGCGTCGATGCTCAATCACTGAGCCACACTAGCTGGGCCTGAATACTAATGTTTAAAAGAGCTTTTATTATGATTTATTGTAGAGAACAAGATATCCTTTGATTAAGAATAAATATCAAGAGGGTAAAAAGTTTCCTTGGGAAAAACATACCACTTGATTTTTGCAACAGTTTCATCCTGGGCAATATGCTTTTGTTTTGATTATTCATGAAACTGCAAAGAATCACTTAAGCTTGACTAACATTGCGTATAAAAGTTATTTTTATACACTTGAAATTAGAAGGCTGTGTCTTAGAATCCCCATTCGGCAATGCTGTGTAACCCAAGAGCTCCTTAAATTTCCTATAAGCACCAAAAGAAAGCACTTTCCCAAATACTAGTCAGTTGCTGGATATGGTGCTTCAGCAAGATCCACTTCCTCACTGACTCCTCCTCCTGCTCTTCAAGTTAATAGCAGCTAAAGCTAAGGCTGCACAGCTGGGTTAGAATGCAGGGGAGTGGGCCTGCGAGTCTGCCCTGGAATCTGGGGAATAACGCCCACACTGGAGGAACAGAAGCCTGCCTCTGATGAAGCGCTTTCCGAGACAGTCAGGAATGACAGGGCCGAGAGTGGACGTGGCAGGAGAGCTCTGCTTGTGCAGGCGCACAGTCTCCAGCACCAAATGTCTCCAGCACTTGGCGAGGAAGTGAGCAAGGGTCTGGGCTGTAGAGGCATCTGTGCAGCCCAGGGCAGCCAAGGCCTGGCTGGGTCAGGACTCCCGACCCAGTCAGGGGGCTTACGTCACAGAGCTCCAAAATGTGGGCTGTGTGTGACCAAGAGAAATTACACAGGCCAGTTTAAATACAGCCTATATTTCTCTCTACCACTTAGATTTTCTTTTTTATTTTCAAAAACAATACTTTTCTGAAGACGTTAAGTAAAGCTGGAACACGAGAAACAGCTGTGTGTAGAACAGCACCCAGGAACCATGATGCTCTCCGTTTCTCTCCTCAAAACACATTTGGATCAACTACCCCAACCCCACCGAACCAAAACCAGACGTGACTATTTTGTCTTGGAAAATATCCTCAGGAATGTCAATTTTCAAATGTTCTACTGCAGAACCCACAACATTATGTTTACTTAATAAATGTTAAGGAACTAAGATATTATCATTACTTTCCATAAAACAATTGTAAGCAGTCCTTCAAACTTTTCCATTTCGCAGTCACACCACAACAAACTGTGTGTTTTTGTTTTGTTTTGTTTGCCTAGTTGCAAAAAACAATCCCAGCAGAGCAGAAAGCATCCTGCAAGCATCCTGCGGAGGCTCTGAGGAGAGAGCAAGGCCCGTTTCTCCAGCCTACTACGCTCTGGGAGGCCCAGACCCCCACTTCCCAGCCAGCAGGACACTGCAACCTGACTCACCACAAAGAACTCTCAGTGTGTCTTGATATTCTAAGCTTCCACTTAGCCTCTGCCTTTTTCAGGGAGGAAGGAGGAGACTAGGAAGTATAAAGTAGAAGCAGTGCTGACCAGAGGGAGGAAGGGAGATGCTCAGTTTGTGTCTATGCATACAAGTCTCATTCTGTATGACAAATGCATTCTTGTCAAGTTGACCATAGGTGAATTTCTGAAACCTGATTTTTAAAAATGATAACAGCTTATTAATGATAGAAATTTAATTGTATAACAATCCCGAATTATATCTTTTTGTAAATCTTAATTTTTCATATAATTTAGCTAGAAAAATAACAATATTATACCCAGTCAATTGTCCATGCAAATGAACAAGCACACCAGCAAAAAGAATAAGCCCAAGTACAGAGGAAAACAGAAACTGCATTTTTAAAATATAGCAAAGAATATACATCACAACTAATTTACTCAAAAAAACAACTCACCTATCAACTCCTTTGCTGAACTTATCAATTTTAAAATAATAAAACATTAAAAATTATATTTTTTGTTCATCCTCACCCAAGGATATTTCCCCCCACTGATTTCAGATAGAGTAGAAGGGAGGGAAAGAGGGAAAGGGAGCGAGAGAAACATCAATGTGAGAAACACATATTGATTGGCTGCCTCTCAAACACACCCCAACTGGGGTGGGGATCAAACCTGCAAACCAGGTACATGGCCTTGACCAGGAATGAAACCTGTGACCCTTTGGTCCACAGACAGACACTCTAACTGCTGAGCCAAACAGGCCAGGGCTAAAACACATTCTTTTTTTTTTTTTTTTTTTAATCCTCACCCGAGGACATTTTCTCATTTTTTTGTTCAGGTAGAGTGGGAGGGAGAGAGAGGAACAGAGAGAGAGAGAGACATACATCAATGTGAAGGGACACATCGAGTGGCTGCCACCCGCACGACCAACCAGGGCCGGGGACAAACTGCAACCGAGGTACGCGCCCTTAGCGGGAACCAAACCCGGGTCTCTCAGGACCGCAGGTCGACGCTCTAACCGCTGAGCCAAACCGGCCAGGGCTAAAACACATTCTTAAATGAAGTCACAAACAATGCAACTGGTTAATAGATTGTCACAAGAACTTAAGAGGTTTTTAACTCTGTTAAAGTTGCCTCAAAAATTATCTTCATTTCTAGACAGAACCTCACACTTAGGAGACAGGTCCCCTTTGCCTCACTGCAAACAGTAAGTAAGGGTGGATGGCTAGACTGGCAAAATATTAGAGGAAGAGGGAGGGGAGAGGGGAATCCTTTTCCACCATGTGTCCCAGTTAATGTTACTAGTTTGAAAACACCGAGTCATCTCAAAATGCAAAAATCCTTAAGTTTTCTGTAAAAATATTGTGTCCTGTGACTGACTTTGTGCAACTAAGTGGTCAAAAGGAAAGTTCCAGAACTAAATGTACCATCAGGCAAGTGGACTAAGAACAGATAACCTCAGAGAGAAATTAAACATTTCGTCAAGGGTTTCTGATGACAATGCAAAAGCAGGAGAGTACATTGTACTTCAAACAATGCCTTGTCTGTTTGCCGAACACGGATGAGCCTAAAATGGAGGGGACAAAAAACAAGGGCAATATTGAGCCACAAACTTCACTTTAAAGGCCAAGTGTGGACATACATACAAACATACATACATTATTGTACAAATTGGCACAATATATGTACCACAGATGGACACACAAACCTCCCAGTGCTGCCTGACACCCCATTCCCATCAACCCCCACATCAGATGGCCCTCAATGGAACCACGTCACTCCCTTGAGCAGTTTGGGGTCCAGTTGCCCAGAGAAAAGCAGTCTCAGGACCCCTTATCTGACTCCTGGAGTTTATTCCAACCCTGAGCAATTATTCTAAGTGACAGAGTAGTTGGAACAAGGAAGAGAAGAGGAGGAAGTGGAGGAGAAAGAGGAAGTAGACTGGTCTGTATTCACTCTACTGCTCAGAATTTGGGTGAGTTCTGGTCCATGGGATGCGCCAAACACCTGCTTGGAACCAATCAGGGGCCAGACCCAGCTCTGAGCCTTAGTTTCTTTAGCAATTAAAAAGGAATAAGCTTTACCTTCAGATTTATTGTGAGGATGGCACTCAATAAATGTTAATCTAATTTCCTTCCTGGTCCCCTAACCCTTCCCTGAGGCCACTTTCCTGAGAACTAATCTAGTCTCACACCCCGAGTCTTGCTGGAGGCTAGACCACACCAATGCACTCATGCTGCACACCAACCACACACCAGCTCTGGGCATTCCCCTCCACTCCAGCCCCTTCTGCTGAGTTCCTGCTACTCCATGGTATAGGCAATTCCTTATACCAAAACTTTTGCCTTCAGTCCACCCCGTCTCATTCCTCAGTTTCCCCAACTGTCTCAGTTTTCTCCCATGGGCTGCTCCAAGAACTTTCCCTAAAGAACCTAACCCAATTGTTTCATCTATAAGTCCCAGTCACTTCCTAAAATCTGGGGCCATACACACCCAACCAAACTCCTGGTATGTCAGAAAAGGATTTACAAGGCTAGACAGACATACATAAATAGATCATTGAGAAAAGAACACTCAAACAGACTGGCTCATGACCTTAGAGAACCAAATTTCAAACATGAGAATGTCATCTATTAGATCAGTGTTCTCTTTAAGGCGTCCTAAAAGAAAAAGTTTCTAGGTAACAGAAAAAGCCAAGCTTCTTCCGTGAAACCGATCTGTTTTTATTTAAAGGCGATTACACAGGTGGAAGCTGATCTTCTGTCCCTTTCTGCTTCAGCTGCTGTGGAACTCTAGAGCCAAACGTGTGGCCTAACTCAAGCACCTGTCAAGTTCCACATTGTCCCTACCCTTAGGCTTCATTATTTTATACTGCATATATTCTTGTAAGTTGCCAGTAGCATACAACTGGAGCACAAACATAAATTTGAAATGTACAACTTAGGGTAAGGTGGTCTTTGCCTTGTCGTAGGCTTGCGTCCATCCAGGAATGGCAGCTGTGCTGGGTTTTAGAGAGAATAACACAGCCAAGAAGCCTACAGAGAAGAGAAGACGAAAATGAGGTGGAAGCAGAACGTAGGCCTGAGCCCCACACCTCTCTCCCCTGTACCTTTAAAAATGCATAATAGCAGAGCCAGAATGATGGGCCCAGATGCCTGGGGAAGTACCCCCATCACTCGGTGGAAGCCTAATTTGGATGATAATGAGTCCATTGTGTATTTAAAGTGGTTTAGATTTTCTACTGGCTAAAACCTAGGAGTCTACAGACTAATAGAAAATAATAACAATAGCTTTTCCTAAGGTACCCTGAATAACCTCAAGAACTAATGGGAGGTAAAAGACATCTCTACGTTGGAGGAAAGCGTGGGGCACACATTGCAGAGGCTTCCAGCTGTCCTGGGAGTAAGAGCCCTGCCTCGCTCTGCTGAAGCGATGAGGAAGTGCCGAGGGCCCTTCTGGAGAGGGAAGGCACCATGGACACACCATCACCTGGGCTCCCAACTCAACAGGCAGGAGCTGGTCCCCAGGCCAAAGGGCCTGAGAGCCACGATCAGCTTTGCGATCTACCTGGCCTAGATTTAAGTACCTCCAAGCAGAACTGAAACTCCAGGAAGGAAACCTGTGCTCCCAGGAGCTAGGAAAATAAAACGGCAAAGATTCTTCGTGACTTGAAGGTTTTGGAAATAGCAATGCTAGGTGGCTGATGGTTCAGAACAGGTTTTCCCAAGCAATGCTACTTTGACATGTGGGTCATTCTGAGCTGAAGCCAATGGAGACCCTGTGGGCTCACAGAAACTTCTGCCCCTCCCTTAACTACATACACGAATCTAAATTAGGGGCCTTTCCCATAATGAGAGTTATCACCAGAGATAAACTTCTATGACCTACCGAAAGAGCAGGGCAAACTTCTAGTTACTACCTATCATCCTGCGAATGACCTTCCTCACCACTGAAGCGCCAGGTGCCTTACCTCATCCCTTAGTTCAGAACGTCACGTATACCGCACTTTAACTTTCTGTCTCTGAACCTTTCATGTACATGGGGTCTCGAAATCTCTCATGTATGAGAGGTACCAGCACATACGTTTGTTAATTAAATTTGGTTATTTTCTCTTATTAATCTGTCTCATGTAGATTTAATTATTAGATCATCCAAAAGAACCTAGAATGGTAGAGAGAAAATTCCTCCTCTACATGGAAAAGCAAGAGGCACAGCCACAGCCAGAGACTGTGAATTCAAACTCCCGTTTCAAAAAGGACAGCTCTGTGACCCTGTGCAAGCTACCATGTTCGAATTTCATCACTATGAAATGAAGAATCCTGCCTTTTACCTCTCATTAGCTGCTTCTGAGGCTATTCGGGAAAAGCTATCAATTTTATTATTGTATTAGTCTACAACCTCCCAGGTTTTAGCCAAACAAAAATCTAAACCACTTTAAATACACATTGGACTCAATATCACACAAAACTGGCTCTGCATCCTCATAACTGCAAGCTTCCAGATGGCAAGATTCTAGGTGAAATCACCAAAAGACTACAAAAGTGCCACATGTTATTACGTGCGTTCCACTCATTAATTCACCCAACACTCTGCACGTTAGCGATGAGCCAAGTTATCTCCTTTACACAAAGCAGATTCAGTATTCTTTCACGGTTACACAAACAAATAACAAAGCCAAAGCAAAGGAAGGGCAACTCCTTCCTCCCTGCACGCTGCAATCTATCAAGCGGTGTTCTGTGTTTTATCACTTTTCCTTGAGGGTTGCAACACTTCTACAAGGAATTCTTTGATTACTGTAATACTTTTATCAACAACAGAAAATTAACTCCAACAACACACTATACTGTCAGAAGTTTCATTATCAAAGGTGAAAATGAGGAAGGATGGGCAGAAATACATGCCAGGATGAACAGCTCATCAAGACTTCCGTTCTTTACAGCCAAGGTAGACTCTGGGCCCTCCCAAGAAATGCTGCAACTTTTTGTGTGCTCATCCCTGTCATTCACGACACTGTAAACTCATCAAAGGCAATAACCATTTCTACATCCATCTGGGTCTTCCAAGCAACCCCACGCCGGGTGAATGAAACAGATGAATGAATAAGCATGGCCGTGGCCCAGGCAGCACATGCCCATGCCCATGCCCTCTCCCCATGATCATGCCCTGTGAGTCCTGGGCTTAGGCCTGGACC